CAGCCCACCAGGGGGCGGGGCTGGCTGGCATGTGGTGCTGGGGGATTGAACCGTGGTCCCTTTGTTTTTGCTAAGCTTGTTGTAAGTAGGTGCTTTAGACCACTGAGCCATCTCACCAGCCCCTGTATATACCTTTTGACCCAGTGAATCCACTTCTGGGAACTAAACCTACATCTATGCTATCATGTGCAAAATAACACTGATACAAGGTTTTTTATCACAGTCGTTTGTAACAAGGAATTATAAACACGTGTTAGGGCTGGGGAAGTAGCTCAGTGACATAAGGACCTGCCTGGCAAGTGCAAGGTCCGTCCTGAGTTTGGTCCCAGGTACTGAAGAAAAAAAAAAAAGAAAGAAAAGAAAAAGAAAATCAAAACACATATTAGTTGTGGTGGGCTAAAGCATGGTACATACATACATACAATGAAACAATATGTAGCTATCTATAATAAAAGATTGAGGGCTGGCGAGATGGCTCAGTGGTCTAAAGCATCTACTTGGAACAAGCTTGGCAAAGCACAGGGAGCACGGTTCGATCCCCCAGCACCACATGCCAGCCAGCCTCGCCCCCTGGTGGGCTGAGCTGGCCACACACACACACACACACACACACACACACAATAAATGTTTAAAAGAAAAAAAAAGATTGAGGTAGCTCTTCCATTGTACCTCTCAGCTATGTTAAACAACAGAAACTAAGAACACATGTATATATTTCCATTAGAGAGAATAAATACATAATATGCATGTTTCGGAGGACATACAAGAAATTGAAACAAAAAAAAAAAGAAATTGAAACAATGCCAGATATGGTAGTACACACCTGTAAACCCAGCACTGGGGAGGCTGGTGCAGGAGGATCACTGCGAGTTCAAGGCCGGCCTAATCTACACAGCTCACCTTGTTTTAGAAAAACTGAAGGTGCCTGGAGAGGGCTCAGTGGAATAAGCGCTTCCCTGGCAAGTGCAAGGGCTTGAGTTCAATCCCCGGTTCCTCAAAAAAAAAGAAAGAAAAACTGAAACTTAAGGCAGGAAATGAATAAGTATCTAGGGACAAGTGTGGGAAGAAAACTTCACTGTATGTTCCCACTGTACCTTTTGAATTTTGAATCATGAAAATTTACTTTTCAAACACTGTGACTAAATTGTCTTACTGTATCTTTAATAAGATGGAATTGTCAGCCACCTGAAGAAGCAAGCAGGACCAGCCTCAGTCCCCCTCAGAACTGAGGAAGAGTTTAAGAAGTTCATCAATGATAAAGATGGCGCTGTGGTAGGTAAGTAGCAAATATTTAGGCCACAAAAATCATCAATTTGTTTTCAAAACCCCCCACATATGAGGACAGCACAAAGTGAAAAGCATTTTAGAAAGCTTGGGGTAGTTTAAAGGAGAATAGGTAGAGCCGGGCAGGATGGCACACACCTATAATCCCAGCCCTCAGCAGGCTGAGGTAGGAGGATGTGAGTTCCAAGGCCAGCCTGGGCTACAGAGTGAGCCCAAGGCCAGTCTGAGCTGCACAGTGAGACTCTGACTCAAAAAGACCAAAGGACACTGGATAGAATTGGGGCAGTATTACTATTATATGGAGGATGTGGTATTTTCAGTGGATTGTGTTGTTTGTAATGTAAAGGTTTAATTTCAGTTAAAGGACTAGAATAGGAATATCTGGCTTTTTTCCTCCCTAGACTACTCTTGAACTTTCATTGTTCTTGCGTCAGCCTTCTTAGTAGTAGGAATTACAGATGCATGCCACCATGCCAATCCAAGCCCTTTCTTCCTTCCTCTCCTTGTTTTCTTGCTTTTCCAATACTGGGGATTGATCCAAGCATGATGGCAAACACCTATAATCTCAGCACTTGAGAAGAGGCTGAGGCAGGAGGATCACTGCCAGTTCAAGGTTGGCCTGAACTACACACAATGAAACCCTGTCTCAAAAAAAAAAAAAAAAAAGGATTTACAGCCATCTTTACTTTCTGAGGTTGTATTAGTCAGGTTTCTGTTGCTATAACAAAATATCTGCAGCTGAGAAATTGGTAAGGAACTCTTTTATCTCACGGTTTTGGAGGTTTGAGAGCACAGTAGGGCTAACATTTGATCTAATGAGGTACCTGTCCTCTGCATTTCGTAAGGAGGGAGGGAAGTGATAGGTAGGAAGCCACTGCAGGGCCCAGCCTTGCTCTGTTTTGTTTTTTGCTTTTTGTTTTTAAGTTTCCCTAGAGGTTGAGAAATTATGTCAAAGCAGACCAGGTCTTTATTCTTAGTTACCCATAAAAGAATAATAGCTTTCAAAAGAATGTGAAGTTCTTGAATATCTGTTAATATTTACAGCTATTTCTTTGTGTTGGACATTTTCCAAATAGGTTTTTTCAGGGATTTGTTCAGTGAAGCACACTCCGAGTTCCTCAAAGCAGCCAGCAACTTGCGGGATAACTACCGGTTTGCGCACACAAACGTGGAGTCCCTGGTGAAGGAGTACGATGACAACGGAGAGTAAGTGACTGGGTAATACTCTTGCCTGTGTGTCACTTTGTGACTGGGTGGGGTTTGTGCCTGTGATTTATAAAAGTTTGACCAGGTTGGGGAATTGGCTCAGTGGCATAAGTGCCTGCCTGGCAAGCACAAGGTCCTGCCAATGCCAGGAAAAAAAAAAAAATTGACCACTTGCTGTGCATTAAGTTAGTGCCAGAAACTACTACTACTGCGTTGTTTTGGTTTTCTCAGGATCTCTCTTTTGTTTTGTTTTCTCAGACAGGCCAGGCTGTATAGTCCAGCCTGGCCTCAAAGTGCTGTAATCCTCCTGACTTTCCAAGTGCTGGGATTACAGGCTGGCACCACACACCTGGCTTTATCATTGTCTTATATGGAGCACTTGGAGGAGAAGATACCCTAAAAATGAATATGGTTTTGTGTTTGTTGTAATAGACATACATACAAGGTATATGAAAAATACTGTTTTGGGAATATGAAGAAAAAGCTTCATAGAGGACGTGACTCTTGAAAGATGAGTTTTTCCAAATAAAAAACTGGTAGCTGGGACAAAAATTATTCCAGGTCATGCAGTAAGGCTGTAAGACAGTCTTGGCATGTTGGGACCTATAGTATTGCAAGGGCATAGTAAATGTAAGGTTGGAGGAGTAAGCAGAGACCAAATTATAGCCATTTGGAAGACAGTGCTTTTTTTTTTTTTTTTCCTTCAGTACTGGGGATTGAACTTGGGACCCTGCACTTGCCAGGCAAGTGCTTATTCTACCTAGCTATCTCCTTGGCCCCAAGACACTGCTTTTGAGCAGGGTACTAACATGGTTAATTTTGTTTCATTAGAAAAATTGCTGGTACCCACATGATAGTGCCTTAAAGAGAGTATGGTAAGGCAAGAGAATCTAAGACTATTAGTGGCATTGAGGAAGAAGTGGGTATAAATGTGAACAGCAGGATTTAGGCACTCGTGTGGAAAAGGGAAAATCTAGAATAAGTCTGATTCCTACAAAATTGGGTAATTGGAGCCATGGTAGTCACTGTCAAGTTGGGAAACAAATCTCTAGGGGGAAGGATAAGTGATCATAGTGAGATTAAGAAGTTGGTGATTCGGGGCTGGCGAGATAGCTCAGTAGTCTAAAGCACCTGCTTAGGCAAGCACAGGAACTACAGTTCAATCCCTGGCACAACATGCCACACCAGCCCCACCCCCAGGGCAGATTGAGCCAGCCACAAAAAAAATAGTTGTTGGTGATTCATCCAAGTGGTAAAGAACCAGTGGCTAGATGTATAGAGGCATTTAAGAATGAGGGGTGGGTATGCAGGTACACATGTGCTTTACACACTTTTGTTAGGCCCAGGGCTTTATATGTAGTGGCCAAGAACTATAATTAGGCCCTTCAAATGGTGGGTTTTTTGTTGTTATTTTGGTGGGGGTTTGTTTGTTTTTGTAACCAGGGATTGAACTTGGGCCCTTGCACTTGCCAGAGAAGCACTTATTCTAGTGAGCCATCTCACTGGCCCTGAAGTGGTTTTTGACTAGAGATGATTCACATGTTTAAGTGGTTTCTGACCCACAGGATGCGATGCAATCTCTCAGGCATATCAAGTGAAGTGTGCTGAGGACTTGTGCTAACACATACATATGTAACAAATGAGTATGTGTGTGTCTGCTTGTGCCCTTCCCTGCTGTTAATCAGTCTTTTTTAGTTTTGGTCCTGTTTTGAATCTAAGTTCCTAGACAGTTTAAAACCAATTTTGTTTTTTTGAGACAGGATCTTGCTATGTTCAGGCTGACCTTGAGCTCACTATGTAGCCCAAGCTGGCCTCAAAACAGCAATCCTCCTGCCTTAGCCTCCTGAGTGCTGCGATTACAGGCATGAGCCATCACACCCAGTCAGACCTTTTAACAAACCTGAGAGGCACACACTTGTAAATCTGTTATGGTGTGACCTGATGGTTTGGAGGGCTTCTCAGCTTTTTGGGGTGTTTATTCAAGACAGGGTCTTACCGTGTAGCCCAGGACAGCCTCAGACTCCTGGCAATTGCCACTCCCAAGTGCTATGGTTACAGGTTTGCATCACCATTTCTAAAGTGACCCCATAGCTTTTATGCCTATTGTTTTATTGAGCATGTGGCTAGGCTTTAGAAGAAAAGCACACAAAGAAGTAATTTGGCTAGATTGTCGCAGTAAGACTCAGAATTAAGACTTGAGGTCATGGGGCTGGTGAGATGGCTCAGTGGTCTAAAGCACCTACTTAGAACAAGCTTAGCAGAGCACAGGGACCAAAGTTCAATCCCCCAGCACCACATGCCAGCCAGCCCCGCCCCATGGTGGGCTGAGCTGGCCACACACACATACACACACACAAAAATAAATATAACTTAAAAAAAAAAAAAAAAGACTTGAGGTCAAAAAGTCTGGATATAGATTGGCGGCCTTGGTCACTAAGCCTGCCTCTCTGCCTCTTTATATTAGCTTCCTGTATACTTCCTTTGTGTTCTATGAAAATGCCTGTTTAAAGTTAGATATTGATTAATGTTGGAAGAATGATAAAGGCCTTGACTGTGTTAAAATGAAGCCAAAGGCAGGTCGCTTTGCCTGTGGGAGTGGAGGAGTGACTGAAGAAGCTGGAGGCCACGTGTGGGCAGTTCAGATCTCGTATCTTGTGTATAAGCCTGTGGCTTTGAACCAAGCCTTAGGTACAGTTTTGGCAAGACAAAAGGCTGGGAATGAAGAGACTTCTCTTTCTCCTGTGTCTCAGTGAATTGAGAGGATTATATGAGAGGCAAAGTAGAATCAACAAGAGAAAATTTCCTAAAGTTGGTTTATTGCAGTGGAATAATCTAAAACTAAGGAATTGTAAACTAACTTCAGCTGAATATTGTCTATAGTTGCGTGCCTACTTAAAATATTTCATAAGTGGAAAGAGTAAAGATGTCTCACGAAAAGGGGTGAGGCTGGGTGTGGTGATGCACACCTGTAATCACAGCACTCGGGAGGCTGAGGCAGGAAGATCACCAGGAGTTTGAGGCAGCATGGGCTACATAGTGAGTTTAAGGCCAGCCTGAACTGCACAGTCAGACCCTGTCTCAAAAAACAAAGCAAAAAGGAGTGAGAGGTGAGTTTTCAAGGGCAAGGACTTGCAACAGGAGAAAGGTCTGCTTTCTTTATGTTACTGTGTGTGTTGAGCTGTATTGTGTTTGCTGCTCTTCAAGATTTGGAATTTAGTCATTTAACTCATTTCTGAGTTAATGGGAAGGCAAAAGCCCAGGGGGTTAAATTGATGCCTGGCCCAGGGTAGTTGCAATAGGGGGATAGGGTGGCCTAAGATTAAAATATAGGTCTCAAATTTCTAACAAGGGTTATAAACTGTATATCTGGTTATTACACCTGAGAACAAAGTGACTTGTTATCCTAGTATTGTTGAGAGGGTCATGTTGCCAACTCTGATCCCAGAAGAGTCCCTTTGTGCTTAGTGATAGCAAAAGTAAATAATCTGAAGGGCCGGGGAGATGGCTCAGTGGAATAAGCACTAACCTGGCAAGTGCAAGGACCTGAGCTCAATCCCCAGTTCCAACCAAAAAAAAAAATCTGAGCTTAAATGGAACATGGAGGTAGGTCTTCTGCTGTCTGTTTACTGACACTTTTTTTTTTTTTTTTTAAGGGGTATCACCTTATTTCGTCCTTTACATCTTGCTAACAAGTTTGAGGACAAAACTGTGGCATATACAGAACAGAAAATGACAAGTGGCAAAATTAAAAAGTTCATCCAGGAAAACATGTGAGTTACATCTTGTTATAACTTTGTACCTCTCTCTGTTTTGACTTAGTCCATTATAATAGTAGTTTTAAGTGTATATAAGGACACTATTGTGGGGCTTAGAATTCTTACTGTAAGGGGTCTGTAAAGGTATATTATTTTCAAAATTTGTCCTAAATATTGAGAATGTCTTTCCTTTATAAATGCTGTAATGAAGGTATAAATTGCCCAAGTTCATTATGGATTATTTTATTTCAGTTTTGGTATGTGCCCTCATATGACAGAAGACAATAAAGATTTGATACAGGGCAAAGACTTACTTATAGCTTACTACGATGTGGACTATGAAAAAAATGCTAAAGGCTCTAATTACTGGAGAAACAGGTATGTTTTCTTTTTTGTAAACAAGCTTACCCAGCATAGTAGCACTTTCTTCTAATTATCTGGTTACTGTGGGAGATGTAAGGGCAGGTAAGTGTGAAAACATTGAGCTCAAACACCTCATTTTAAACTGTAAGGGAATAACATAAATTGTTTCCAGAGTTGATTAGGTATGTCCTTCATGGTTTGTGTTGTGTGTTGTGTGTGTGCGTGTGTGCGCGCACGTTTTCTTGTTCTTTGTTTTTTGCCTATGGCACGCTGACTCCAAACCCTAGAGTCAATGGTACAAATTTAATGTAAAGTCACTGAAAACATTGTGCATACTTGCCCGTTGAGGCCCTGGTACATTTTACACTTGTAAATTTTACTTTGCAGTCAGCCATTATACTTGCAAGAGATTTTGTATGTATAGAAGATGGCAAGATTCGGTGGGTGTGGATCATTTCATTCACTACCAACTTGGCAGTGACATTTAGAGTGAACTAGACAGTAATTATGTGCCTGTGATTTTAGAGAGTTCTGTGGACTATAGAACTTTACTTTCTAGCCTTTTGATTAAAAAAAAAAAAAAATGCTTTACCACCCTGATAGTCTTAGCACAAATATCTTGTTTCCCACAGAGTGATGATGGTGGCAAAGAAATTCTTAGATGCTGGACACAAACTCAACTTCGCTGTGGCTAGCCGCAAAACCTTCAGCCACGAACTGTCTGATTTTGGCTTGGAGAGCACTGCTGGAGAGATTCCTGTTGTAGCTATCAGAACTGCTAAAGGGGAAAAATTTGTCATGCAGGAGGAGTTCTCGTGAGTTGCTAGTTAGCATGGGTTCAGGGTTTGAGTCTACAGGGAAATTAAAGCCTTTTGCACTACAGAGAACTTAAAAGTCAGCTTTGGGATGTGGAGATGGGTCTTCTAGTCAGCATGTCATTTCCTGCTTAATTACAGGTATTGAAGGACCATCCCTAATGATTTCTAAAAACTAACAAAAGGATGCAGGTTAGAATTCTTAGCTGTTCTCGCTCTCTTAGAAATGCTGTAGTAGCTCAGTAGAATAAACGCTTCCCTGGCAAGAGCAAGGGCCTGAGTTCAATCCCCAGTTCCACAAAAAAAAAAAGAAAAAGAAATACTGTAATAGGTAGTATTGCACACCTGTAATCCTAGCTCTTTGGGAGGCTGAGGGAGGGAAGTCATGGGTTCCAGACCAGCCTTCACTACATAGGGAAATCCTGTCTCAAATAGCCACACACATAGAGAGTGGAAAAGATTGGATAGCTCTTTGAGATTGATACACTTTATTTATTTTTGCGATTAACACACTATAGTCTAAGTGCCTGCCTGGCAAGCTCAATGGTCCCTATACCAAATAAAAATTTTTTAAAAAGAGAGACATTGATGCAGTCTTAAACTGACCCCTTCCTGTGTGTATAGATTGTCTTCTTGGAGTGTCACATGGGCCTAAAGTAAATACTGGAAAGATGTTAAGACCCATACACAGTTTTTACCTTCAGCATGGAATCTTTGCAAGATTAAGATGAGGAAAATATACTTCTTAAGCCAATTAATAAAACAAGATACTGTAAATAGACACTTGTCTAGAGCAGCAGGACCTGGTTCACTTAAAAAAATCTCCAGAAGACTAATGAGTCTTCCTTTTAAACTTTCTAATACACAAAAAGCACATTGAAAGTAGAGGTGGGTGGTTTTATATTCAATCCATAGTTCTACATATTAAGAGAACAAGGCCTGTTTTTTCCACCTCTCAGCCATGAAATTGAAGGTAAAATATGTAAAAACTATTCAGAGAAATTGCCTTTTTAATCCTCGGTTATGAGTGTGAGTTACCAAACCGAGTCCTGTCTTTTCCGTGCAGGCGTGATGGCAAGGCTCTGGAGAGGTTCCTGCAGGATTACTTTGATGGTAACCTCAAGAGATACCTGAAGTCAGAGCCAATCCCTGAGAGCAACGATGGGCCTGTGAAGGTGCGCTACCCATCGCCTCCCCGTGCCTGTCAGCAGTTGATGCCTCAGCTCTTTATTTCAAAAACATGGGATCTAAACAAAGGCATTGGTATAGACTGTCCTTTTGTGGGAGGAGTGGTTTTTGGTCCTCAGCTCCCTGAGTCCTAAACATTGGCAGAGCTTATTGCAATGTTTGGTAGGGGAAAAAAGTATAAAGCCATACAATTTCTGGGCATGATGGTGCACACCTGTAATCTCAGGGATCGGGAGGTTGAGTCACGCAGATTGCCATGAGTCCAGCCTGTACATGGTGTGAGACCCTGTCTTAAGAAAAAAACTAAAACCATAGAATTTTTGACAGAAAAGCCGGTAGATTATCCTTTGGGCTAGAGCAAGACAATCTCCTGAGCAGCACTGTGGTGTTGTGAAATTATTTTAAGAAACAGGATTTCCTATGACGGATGGGAGATATACGAATGATTTTGTTGAGTGAGGCTAATGTCTTTACACAAGTCTGTAAATGTGAGTTGGATTTTCATGGCTTATTTTCAGTGATAACATCAAATATGAAAGAGTTTATGCCCAGAAACAAATACAGGTTGTGGATTTATTCCTCAGCTTTCCTTAAAACTAGACAATTTGTGTTTTTCCAGGTAGTAGTAGCAGAGAGTTTTGATGAAATAGTGAATAATGAAAATAAGGATGTGCTGATTGAATTTTATGCTCCATGGTGTGGTCACTGTAAGAATCTGGAACCCAAATATAAAGAACTGGGAGAGAAGGTAAGTCTGAACCCTATTCTGAAGATAAAATCTAAGTTAGGTTAGGGTGGTGTATGCCTATAATCCCAGCAGTACAGGCTAGAAAAGCTGGGAAACTGAGGCAGGAGAATCACTAGTTCAACCTAAGCTTAGCACATTAGAAAGACCCTGTCTCAAAGAAAAAAGGGAGGGGGCAGGAAGATGGCTCAGTAGAACATGCGCTTCCCTGGCAAGCACAAGGGTCTAAATTCAATCCCTGGTTCTGCCCAAAAAAAAAAAAAAAAAAAGTGACAGGCATGGTAGTAAACATCTGTATCCCAAGAGCTCAGGAGAGGCAGGAGAATCACAGGTTTGTGGCTACTACCCTGGGGTACATAGTGAGACGTTGTCTTAAAAAGATAATTAGGTCTGGACGTGTTTTTCATTGTGAAGGCCCGGGGTTTAATCCCTAGTAACCACATACACACAGAAAAATGTGGTACATACTATACATTGATTTAGTTACCTTAATTAGTTCCTAAGTGTGAGTAGATTTATTTGAACTGTTACCTTCTCTTGACTGCCCTCTAGTGTCCATTGTTTTAGGATGTGCAGTGCCTCAAATACCTACTTTGAACTTTCCTCCATCTAGACTAACCATAATATTTAACAGTTTCTGAATATTGGTAATGGTTTATGACTTTGTACGTTCCCTCCTTTTTTCTTTTTTGTTTTCTTTTGTACCGGGAATTGAACGCAGGACCTTGTGCCTGCCAGGCAGGTGCTGTGTATTCCTTCATCTTAAGACACTTGGTTTAGCCTTTACATTGTCTTATTCAGGTGAGGCAAATGTGACTGTGGCTGTATGTAGTCTTAACATATAGGAGCCAGTAGAGAGGGAAGCTGGAAGGTTGGCAGATTAAAGTCCTGAATTCACTAAGTGCATCTCAATTGCTGACAGTTTGGAATTTAAGGGTTTAACCTTTGCTGGTACGGGAGTGGGGAGTGTGGCTCAGTGGTAGAGCTCCTGCACAGCATAACTAAGACCCTGGTTTGATTCCCAGCACTACAAAAATAAAGGTCTCACTTCTTTATCTTAACAGCTCAGCAAAGACCCGAATATTGTCATAGCCAAGATGGATGCCACAGCCAATGATGTGCCTTCTCCATATGAAGTCAGAGGGTAAGTAGAAAAAAATGCTCACAATTAGCAAGATGTCTAGCTGATTGATGGTGGAGAATGTGTTCATTAGAAGCTACCAGGAAACCCTTTCTTTACTAGACATAGTTTTGGGGATCTTCATATTGAAATAGAGGACAAAATCCCTGCTCTTTTCTTAGCTATTCTATAACAACCATACTGCAAGGAGTTTTGTGAGCTCTCAGAATTCTTGGCTTTGTTGGACGTAACTTAGCCTTTGGTGGATGGTATCTGATCACATTGGAAAGCATAATCCAGAGAATTCCCAGAAACAGATATCGGGGAACTGTATTTAGAGGTACTCTGGAAGCTGAAAATAAACCTTTCTTCTTTTTTGCTTTTCCCAGCTTTCCTACCATCTATTTCTCTCCCGCCAATAAGAAGCAAAGTCCAAAGAAATATGAAGTAAGTATACTGGCCCATAACCCCACAAATAAGGCACGCACACGTATATATGCAGTTCTTGAATTGGGTCTGTTTAACTGGAAATTCTTACATGGTAAATACAAATGGTTGCTAGCTCCTTTTTTAAAAAGTCCAGAGTTATTTAAAAAGTTAAATTTTTACCACGCCAGCTCCACCTCTGTATATGCTTAGCTAGCCACTGAGACCTGGCATGGAGGGGGCATGCCTGTAATCCCAGTGCTGGGATGGCTCAAAAACAGGATCACTATGAGTCCGAGCTACATAGTGAAACCCTGTACCAAGAACATTAATTTTTAAAAAAGTTCAATTTTCTAGTTGGATGTAGTAGTACTTGTTATGTTGCAAGTTAATGGAGAGGCTGAGGTAGGAAAATGCAAGTTTAAGGCCAGCCTAGGGGACTTAGCAAGGTCCTGACTTAAAAAAAAGGGCTGGGAGGGGCCAGGCAGATAGCTCAGTAGAATAAGTGCTTGCTTGGCAAGCACAAGGGCCTGAGTTCAATCCCCGGTTCCATCAAGGAAAAGAAAAAAGGGGGGGGGCTGGGAATGTAGTTCAGTTGTGGAGCACTTGCCAGATATGCAAGAGGTCCTGGGTTCAATCCACAGCATACCAGGAAAAAAATTTTCAAAGCCACTTTTTTTTTTTTTTTTTTTTTTTTTTGTGAATTTTTTTTTTGCTTCATTTTTTTTTTTTTTTTTTTAGGGTGGCCGTGAATTAAATGATTTTATTAGCTACCTACAACGAGAAGCTACAAATCCCCCCATAATTCAAGAAGAAAAACCCAAGAAGAAGAAGAAAGCACAGGAAGATCTCTAAAGCAACAGCCAAACATACCACTTTGTAAAAGGACTCTTCTACCAGAGATGGAAAACCAATGGGGAAGACTGGGCCCCATGCGGGATTATTACCTCTCAGCCAAGAGGACAGAATGGATATAATCTGAATCCTGTTAAATTTTCTCAAAACTGTTTCTTAGCTGCACTGTTACCAGGACCAGTTTATGTTTGTGGTTTTGGGAAAATTATTTGTGTTGTGGGGGTGGGGGGAATTGAATTGGGGGGTTATTTTCTAATTTTTTTTTTTGTACATTTGGAACAGTGACAATAAATGAGCCCCCTTTAAACTGTCTTTTCCATGAAATAGAAAACCAAAGTCTTCAGACTGTCACCATCCAGTAGCTGCAGTGATGGAAATGTCACTAATGTGCAATAATGCATGTAGCTGTGAAACATTTAAAGTATGGCTAGAAAGCTAGGTGTGGTGGCACATGCCTGTAAACCCCATATTCTGGAAGCAGAAGCAGAAGGATCACTGAGCTTGAGGCCAATCTGGGCTACATAGTGAGTTCAAGGTCATTCACTACATGGCAAGACCCTGTCTCAAATTAAAAAAAAAATTATGTATATATATATATACTGCCTTTTATTTATTTTGGTGGTACCAGGGATTGAACTCGGGACCTTGTGCTTGCCAGGGAAGCACTCATTCCCCTGAGCTATCACCCTGGCCCCGGACTGCCTTTTAGTTTCCATTTTATTTATTTATTTTCAGAGCCAGGGATTGAACTCGGGTCCTTGCATTTGCCAGGGAAGCACTTATTCTTACTGAGCCATCTCCCCAGCCTTTAATTTCCATTTTAGAAGGCACCTAGTCCAGCATTCTGGGAGATTGAGGCCGGAAGACTGAAAGTTGGATCCCAGCCACGTCAACTTAAGTTTAGCAAGACCCTATTTCAAAAAAGTGCACGGGATGTCTGGGATGTAGTTTTGTACAAAGGCCCTGGGGCTGACTGCTAGTACTACAAAAAATAAAAAGGCCACATAGTAGCTACAATAGTGTCATGGCTACAGCCTTAGTGATAGGGACCGTACTTGTATTCCCTCAGCTCTTCTGAATTTCTCATCCCTTTGTATCCTTACACCTGCATTGCTCAGGTTTCTAGGCTAGTGGTTAAAGCAAAAGGGCCAGGCCTTTGGGGCTGTTTCTGGCCCTGCCCAGACCCTCAGGATAGGTTGCAGCTTATTCTTGCCATACAGCAAGGCCTTCGGCATAATAAGGACTGCTCTGCACAGAAATGCTCCAGACAGGTGGCATTAGTTTGGGGTTCCATTCAAGTTTGAGGAGATGCTGACATGGGTACAGTCCCGTCCACCAAAGCCTAGAGTATGGTCCATTCCCTCTCCTGGATGTGAGTGAAGGTCTTTGAACAGGAACAAAGACAGGACTGCAAGGATCCCCTTTTATCCATATGAACTAAACTATTTCTTCTTCATAGTTAAATCCAAGTCCTGTCCATAGTACTCAGCCACTGGATAATTCTAGATAGCCCTAATTTTAGGTAATTTTTGTAAACCGTTCGGGTCAGAAAACTTCTTACTGTAGTATCTAGTCATCAATTATAAAATGGCAGTCCATTTTAAAATTAAATGACAAGGCATGGAACACACCTGTAACCCCAAAACCTTGGAAGGTGCAGAGGATTTCAAGTTTGAACACAGCCTGGCAATATAGTAAGATCCTATCTCAAAAAGGAGAGGATAGGAGCTGGGGAGATGGCTCAGTAGAATAAGCACTAGCCTGACAAGTGCAAGGGTCTCAGTTCAATCCCCGGTTCTGCAAAAAAAAAAAAAAAGTAGAGGATAGCTCAGTGCAAAAGTCCTGCGTACCTACCACATTAAAAAAAAATCAGGCTCATGACTAATAGTTTACAATAAACATATCAAAAAAAAAAACCTGAAAATGTTGGGGCTAAGAATATAGCTCAGTGCCAGAGTTCTTGCATCCCATCCTCAGTACTAAGCCAGAAAAAAAGTATACCATAGTTTTGAGGACTAATTCATAACATCCAGCTGGAGTCGGGATCTAATTTTTTCCAGAGCTCCAGAAATAGTTAACATGTACAGTCGCCAGCATTAAGCAATGCCTTGGAGTATTTAAGGAAAATATACTTGTACAAAAGACACAAAAACAGTTTCACTTTACTATGTTTATAAAAGAATCCACTTTTAGTACAGTACATGGGTAACACCTGAGCCCTTTCCCATTGTATCCAGGTATGCTACAAGGATTTCTTGTTTTGGGGGGTGAGGGGTTTTGTTTTTGTTTTGAGACAGGGTCTCACTTTGTAGTGCAGGATGGCCTTGAACTCTCTCAAGTATCCCAGGCTGGCCTCAAATTCAGTGATCCTCCTGCCTCAGCCTCTGGAGTGCAAGTGCTAGGATTACAGGCATGCATCACCATATCCAGTTACAAATTCCTTTTGATTTAACAAAAATTTTCTCTTTTTTTTTCCTCTGGAGGATACTGGGCCAAATTCACTTAGTTCATCTGTTATCCTCAAGGTATCTTGTCCTGGAAATGATGTTATTTCCCAGGATTTAAAAATGACTTGGTGAAAAAGCCAGGTCTGCTACAATCTCTCATCTCTTGGGCACAGCTGAGGAGCCTTGGCACTGTGCCCACGCCAAAGAAATTAAAATACAGCAACAATATCACAGGTCAAGAACCTAGCGCAGCTCTACTTGCCTCTGTGGGCTCAAGCATAAGGACAGATAGTTGCACTCTAGTTTTGCAGCTGCTTTGTTCCTATCTCACTGAACAGAAGGTGAAGAGGCCTCGACAGCCTCAGCTGCCCCAGTTCTTTCCCTCAGACTCCAGGATGAGACCTTTTATGTGGGACAGTTTCTGATGCAGGTACTCACAGCGGTGCTTTTCTTCCCTGTAACCTGGGTACCGCTGCAGGAGAAAGGAAAAAGCATCCACATCAAAAAGCAAACACTTGATTTCTACCTTCTTGTTTCCATTCTCAGAACCTATCTTACCTTTCTGAACTTTTTATATTCCTGGACTATCTTATTTTCCAGCACCTGAAATAAAAAATACATTCAGTTCGGGCTGGTGAGATGGCTCAGTGGTCTAAAGCACCTAGTTAGAACAAGCTTAGCAAAGCACAGGGACCACAGTTCAATCCCCCAGCACCACATGCCAGCCAGCCCCGCCCCCTGGTGGGCTGAGCTGGCCACACACACACACACACACACACACACAAATAATTAAATAAATTAAAAAAAAAATACATTCAGTTCAACACTGAGAAATGAGGGGCGTAACTCCCCTCTCATTCTACCTAATGATTCTATATTTTCTGCCAGAACAGGTTTGCTCATCACTGAACAAACACAGGCTTCTGAGTAGTCAGCAGGAGAACAATGGCCAGGGAGGCTGACAGCCTGGGTGCAGCCCTACCTTGTGTTCTGGAGTTCCTGGCTGAACTCTCTTGATCTCTGCTCCCAGCTCTATGAACCTTTGGCTGGCAGTCCCCACCCGAGCATGGAGGATGCGGTACTCGGCATAATCTGCCTCAAAGTCTTGTTCATAGGCCCGCTGCTGCTCTGTACTGTGGATGGTCCTGTACTGCCTGCAAAGGACGTTGTGGCCTTCAGTTTCATTGTCCCCAAAGCTCTAGGCTCCCCATAAATTTGAATGTGTAAGGCTTGGTGAAATTAGAAATGCAGAGCTGGGGAGATAGCTCAGCAGGCTTAAGTGCCTGCCTGGCAAACACAAGGTGTGGAGTTCAATCCCCAGTATCACAAAAAAACGAAACAAAGTGGAAATACAGGAAACTCACAGGAGGTAATCTGGCACCTGTTCGGGGCTTGGGGATTCAGAGCCTAGGAGGAACCAAAGCATACATTATTATAGTTCTTTCCACGAAGGCATTTTTAGCCTCCTCTCATTAACTCACCTGCTTGAGCTGAGGGGCTGCGCTCCAGCCGGGGCCCTGTATTTTCATCTTTATCTTCCTGCTCCCAATCTTCCTGTAAGTCCCGACTGGACAACCCTTGGAGGGGGCTTGGCACTGGAGACAGAACTCTGAGCCTCTTTTCTTCTAGCTTTTCGGTGTCTTCTGGTGCTGGACGTTTCTGTTGAGGAAACTATATGAGACAAATAGCAAGCTAGGGGCTTTCTATTCTGTCCTTCAGAACTTTCCACCATGCACATAATCAACTTCCAAATTTTAGCCTGACTACTCTCTGAAAACCCTTCGCATTACATCTGACCTTCTCCAGACACTTCTGGCCGGCAGAGGAAGGCAGCGCCTGATCAGGCTCTCTCTTTGGAAGATGGTTCTGCTTCCTGGGATGTTTGAAAAAGGAATGGCAGAGTTGGCGATCAGAGTAGAAAGAAGACCTCGCCTAGATCATTCACAGCCCTTAAGGGGTGGAGATCAGATCAGGGCTTCCCAGGTTGGCCCTGCCCTGTTCCCAGTACCTCACTTCCCACTCTACTGGCTGCTCCCTCAAGGGTCCTGGGAGTGACTGTCCTTGGTTGCTTGCCAGTGGATCTGACACCTGGCAGGAAAAGTGGCAGGAGCACTTGGTTCCCTGAAGTTCAGGCTTTGCCCCACCTTAACCAACTCGCTGCAGTTTCTGGCCTCACCTCTTCTGGGGCAGTCTGTGGCTGTGACACCAGTGCATCTACTTCGGAATAATCTCGCACGCTCCTCCGAGCCTCCGGATCCCTGTCTTCTTCAGTCACGTTGCGTCCCTGAACTGAGGATGGGCCTGGGAGGGAATCCATCCCTGCCCAAATAGTGAGGCGCTCCCTGAGTGGGCCCAGGCAGTGGAGGCGGTTGGCCCCGGATCTGGAAGAAAGTGGAAACCCAGGAGGCTGGAGCGTTTTCCAGCACCTCTTCTCAGTTCCCTTCATCACTTTTGCACCAGCCCTGTCATACCTGCTGCCTGGCCCTCACCTGTCCACGCGCTGGCACAAGAGGTCCAACTCACCGCCAGCCCCCTCCTGGCCACACTGGGACACTACGAAGGAGAAGAGGCAGGACCAGCCGGGGCCTGTGAGCCTCAGATACTACGGGGGGAAGCAGAAGGACGCCCGCGGAGTCAGCCCGACCGGAGGGGATCCCCTGGGGCTCGCCCGCGCCAGGTGCAGCTGGCTCGGTCCCCGGGGCCCAGCCGCGCAGCCCTTCCCCCACAGCCTCCCGGCCGGCAGCGCCTCTCCACTCGGTTGTGCCCCGGGAACTTGCTCGGCCCGCCCGCCCCTTCGAGCCGGGTATCCCGGCCGGCACTCACCCCTCGGGGGCCCTGGAAGGCGATCACAGGCCGGACCTACGGGAGAGAGCGGCGCGCTAAGCCAGTGCCAGGGCGCCCCGGGCGGGAGCCTGCCAGGCCCCTCCGGCCGAGGTGGGATAGCTGGGCCGCGGAGTGGCAGGGTGGGCTGGGCCGCACCTGTTCCCGCCGACTCTCCTGCAGCGCCCGCAGCGCTGCGGCGTCGAGCCGGAGCAGGAGCAGGCTGGTCCGGGTGGAGGGGGAAAAGCAGAACCGCAGCACCCCGCGCAGGGGGTCCGAGGGTCGCTCCATGGCGCGGGCAGCAGCGGTAGCACCGGCTCCTTCAGGCACCACGGGCAGCAGCGGCAGCACTTGCTCCTCCGGGTTCTACAGGCTTCAGCGGCAGCACCAACTCCTCCGGGCACCGCGGGCAGCACCTGCAGCACCGGCCTCCGCCCCGTCCCGCCCCGCCCCGCCCCGCCCCATCTCAGTCCCTCTCCCCCCGCGGGCGGGGCCTGGCTCCGGAGTCCCTGAGGACCCCTGGCCTCTTCTCGTCCAGGACTGATCCTCGCTTGGCTTTTGGAAGGGCTGCCAAGGTATGAGGAGATGGAGTCTGTGGTCAACGCCCCACCCTTCTCTCAGAAGCCTCTGTCCTGCCTCAGTTTCCCCACCCGCCTTTGGACTCAATGCTGCCGTCTCTAAGTGAAAGCTGAACCCTCAGCCCCAGGAGGCTCAGCCACAGAGGGCGGGGAGATGCCGGGTTGGCAGGCGAGCTGAGCGCAGGACCCTAGGGGCCTGGGAAGGGCAGACCTGCGGGCTGCGGGAAAGCTTGTTTCCACGGAGGTGGAGCAGCCGGCCTGACAGCTGCGGGTGGCGACAAAGCAGTTGACCTCTCTCCCTGTGCGGCGCCTGTAAGTGACCAAGGCTTCCAGAAGTGCAGACCTAGGGGCAGTGATCCATCGAGCCATCGCAGCCATCGCAGCCATCGCAGCCGCCCTTGGTGTTGCCACTTGGTCTCTGTTGTGCTTCGCAAGAACCCTGATGGGATGGGTTTTTTCTAAGCAGGATCTCACTGTTCAATCTCTGGATCTGTATATTCCCTGGTGACCTTAATTCTTTCCGCTCTGAGTCAGATCACCTGTACATTTGTCAAAACTCATTAAGCAGCACAGTCAAAATGTGTATTGGATGTAAATTATACCTCAATAAAGTTGATGTTTAAAATCAGTGCAATAAACCACCAACTCCAAACACAAAAAAAGTGTGCATTTCCATCAGGCGTGTTTCTCTGGGGACAATTTGATAAGCAGTTGCGGGGCAATGCATAAAGCTGCTATCCTCACATGACAACTGCGGCCTTATGTAGGATTTTCCTAGGTTTAAGCTTCAAGGAGAGATTAGAATGGTGAAAATTTCAGAGGAAACACAGTAGTCTCAGCATTAGAGAGCTGAGGTGGAGAGCTGCCTCAAGCCCAGGAGCTTAAGGCTAGCCTGAGCAAAGAGGGAGGGTGTGGGTGCTGCACTTAATCTTAGCCAAAAGGCAGACAAGCAATGGTGGGTGCTGTAAGAGAAGGTAACTAAGAAGACTTGCAGAGAATAACAGAGATAGGGAGCTAACATTTGTTAGGTGCCCACTGGGTGTCAAGATCTTTTTTATTTAATATTTATACCTACAATAATTTTTGAGAATCTGTGTTAGTCAGCTTTGCCTCATTGTGACCAAAATACCTGAGAATGTGTCCCTTGGTTCCATTACTTTGAGCCTGTGGTGAAGCAGAAACATCGTGGTAAAAGAATGTGACAGAGGAAAGCTGTTCACCTTGTGGTGATCAGGAAGCAGAGGGTGGAGAGCCACACAGAGAGGAAGAGGTCAGGAAGAAGGCATACCCTCAGAGGCACACCTCCAGTGGCTCTCTTTCTCCTGAGAGCACACTCAGCTAGGAACTTATCAATGGGCTAATCAATTGATAAGGATCACCTTTGTGACCCAGTCACCTCTCTAGGCCCTACCTATGGACCTGCTGCATTGGAGATGAAGCCCTCAATATATGAGTTGCGGGGGGACACCATAACAATATTATCCATATTTTTTATTCATTCATCTAATATTTATTGACTACTTACTCTGTAAGTGTACTAGACACTTGGGACACTCCCGCTTTGGGAAAATTTACATTCTAGAGAGGAAGAAAACACTAGATATAAACATGAAAAATATTATGTTGTAGAGCTGGGCATAGGGGCATGTGCCTGTAATCTCAGCACTTGAGTGGCTGAGACAGGAGGGTCACTGCGAGTTCCAGGCCAGCCTAGGCTACATAGTGAGTTCAAAGCCAGTTTGAACTGCATAGGGAAATCCTGTCTCAGCATCTTGGTACATGCCTGCTATCCCAGCACTTGTGAAGCTGAGGCAGGAAGATTATCATAACTTTGAAGTCAGCTTGGGCTACATAGTGAGTGCAAGGATAGCCTGATCTACACGGTAAGACCCTGTCAAAAAAAAAGAAAAAGAAAAAAAGAAAAGCATGTATGCATGTGTATTGTAAGCACTGTGGGAGGCTGAAGCAAGGGAATCACAAGTTCAAGCCCAGCCTAGCCAAATAAGTAACTTAGTAAAACCCTGTCTTAAGTTTTGCTTTTTTTAATTTTTTAAAGGGTTGGGAGCCTAAGGCAGGATTGCTGCAAGTTCAAGGCTAGCCGGGGCTACACAGAGAGACCTTGTTTCATAAAACCAAAAATAAATAAAGGTAGTTCAAGGAAAACTCCTGGGCTCAATTGCTAGTACTGCAAAGAGAAGGAAGAAAGGGAGGGAAGGAAGAAGAAAGGGAAGAGAAGAACAAAAAGCGAAAGAAATATTGTGGTGTGTGTTAAAAGATGACAAGCGCCACAGGAAAAACAAAAGAATAGCATGGTGAGAGCCCTCGGGAGTGGGGAAGAAAGGCTGGCTGTCAGGTAGAGCCATCTGGCTAGCACAAAGTTGAACATGTCCCCAAGGGCTAGGCTGGACTGGTGGAAGAGTTGTTTTCCAGGTAAAGGGAATGCCCAGGGCAAACTCTCCAAGTCCAATTGTGGCTGCAGTGTCTGAGGAAAAGCCAAGGCTAGTTGAACTGGAGAAGAGCAAGAGAAGGCAAAAGTAAAAAAAAAAAAAAAAAAA